CCAAGAAAAACACACTTCTTTGCCTTTGGATCGAGCTTCGAGCGGTGACATCCATAGTAACATACCGACTCCTGGAGACTGGGTCATAGCAACAGTACCCTTTCTAATTTTCTACATACCCAAGAAAAACACACTTCTTTGCCTTTGGATCGAGCTTCGAGCGGTGAGGACCAAGAACATGTGTCACAACCAAAAACCCTGAGAGGGATGTGGAACATCTCCCCCTCAGGAAGGCTAAATGGGGTGTTGAATCCAAGTACACAAGAGGGCACCCTATTAATCAGGAAGACTGTTGTGAGAACTGCATCACCCCAAAACCGAACTGGAACAGTAGATGTGATCATCATGCTTCTTGCAATCTCAACAATGTGTCTGTTATTCTTCTCTGCTACACCATTCTGCAATTGACTATAAAAACAACTGCTCTGATGAATTACTCCATACTCTAACAAATACGAAGCAAAGTTCTTCTCAAAATATTCCTTGACATTGTCTGATCTGAATACATTCACTCGTACCCCAAACTGTGTTAGCACCATCTAATGAAACTGTCGAACCAAGGATGGTACCTCATCACGGGATCTCATTAAGTAAATCCAAGAATATTGAGAAAAATCATCCACAAATAAAAGAAAATATCGGTAACCACCCATAGAAGGAACATGGTATGGTCCCCACACACCAGTATGAATAACATCAAAAGTAGATGAACACCTTTTATTACTAGCTTTAAACAAATGTCTACAATGTTTTCCAAGCTAGCAGCTTTCACATTCTAAGCTAGACAAATTAACAGACTCAAATAACTTCAGAAATAAGAAACGCAAAGAAGGAAAAGACAAATGTCCCAAAAGATTATGCCAAAGCATAATCTGACCCACAAACTCCTGACTCAAAATCCCTGCTAACATGATGACTCTAATGATGAGGAAGCGCATCCAGAAGGTAAATTCCATTCACCTCAGAACCACTCCCAATCGTCCTCTTTGAAACCAGATCCTACAAAACGCAATGGCTAGGAGAAAAAACCACTAAGCAATTCAAGTTCTTAGTCAAACTACTAACAGATAATAAGTTAGTATTCAATCCGGGAACATGAAGGCCAAAGGGTAGGGAAATGGAATCAGTAATCTTGATAGCCCCTTCCCAGCAATGGGAACATGAGATCCATCTACTGTGGAAACTTTGTCTCTGCTAGAACAGAGTTGGTAAGAAGAAAAAATAGTGGAACTATGGGCCATGTGCTCTGAGGCTCCAGAATCTATAATCCAAGGAGGTCCCTCCTTACCTGTAGTAGAAACATAGTTTGTAGTGGCATGTGAACTACCTATATGAGCAAAGGAAGTAGAATGTCCACCACCAGAACCACCTATACCTAGCTGTCCACCTGTTACCGGATTAGGGCTGACTGTATCTCGCTGATTTGGTAACTGCCCATATCTCCCAAGTTCGGCCCTCACTGCAGCAACTGCAACAGACTCCAAAGTAGTTGTAGTAGGGGGCCAGGTAAGTCACCAATGACTGCAATGTTAACATTTCCCTTCTTGTTTTTGAGTCTATTTGGCACAAGGTGAGGATGAAGCTTCCAGCAGGTATCTGTCGTGTGTTTAGGCTTCTTACAATAGTCACATATCAGATCCTTCTTATCTTCATTCCTGCTTTCACTGCCACCCCGGTCTCCACTCTGTTTAGGTTTCACAGTACTAACCATGGCTGACTGTTCAAGACTCGAATTCCTCATCATCGCATTCATCCTACTCTCTTCCCCTAATACAAAGGCATATGCCTGAGAGAGAGTAACACTATCCCTGGAAAGGATATGTTGCCTTGCAATATCATACTTGGGATTGAGACCAACAAGAAATTCAAAAACCCTAGTCTTCTCTAAGAGTTTCTGGTAGGCAGCAGCATCCTTAGTGGTTTCCCAAACCACTGTCTCCAGATGGTCAATCTCCTGCCACAGGATTTTAAGGGCCAAAAAATAAACAGCAATAGGTTTATCTCCCTGTCTGGTATCAATAACCTAGTTCCTCAACTGATAGGCCCTAGCAACATTTTCACTCTGTGAGAAGGCTTCTGCAACCCCATCCCAAATTTCCTTAGTCGTATTTGCCCACAAAAAAATTTTTACTCATATGAGGCAGCATAGAATTGCATAGCCAAGTCATTACCATATAATTTTCTTGTACCCATTGAGAATTGTTGGTCTCGGGTTTCACTTCCTCATCAGTGATATACCCCAACTTCCCATGAGCACCAATGACCATCTTTGCAGATTGTAACCATTCTAAAAAGTTTGTACCATCCGACTTAACTGTAGCGATGACCCCAGCCTCAAAAAGGTCTCCAACACCTCCTCCCCCTTGTCCCGTTTCACTTCTGGTTTGTTTTAACCTCTGTGACCCTCCATTATTCCCAACAAAGAAATAATCCCTTTCAGGCACCACACACACACCCTTCTGGAACCCTAGGTGGTCCTCCCACAAAAGATTCCCTTTTCACGGGACGGGAGAAGAAAGAGAAAAAACAGCCACTCCCTCTAGAAGCCTCCAAAACAGATGGGACTTGAACTGCACCCTTCAGAAAACTCCAAGGAACCCTAAAAAATTAGGGCGCCACTTCCTAGGTCAAAATTGAAGAGTCCTACAAAAATAGAACTCTCCCCCTTTCTCCAATTCTTCCTGAATTTGATGGGAAACCCTAGACCAGCTACAGGGCAAAACAGATCCACCAAAAAATCCAAAAACTGGGCTTACCTGAGGTCTTTGATCAGCCTCTCATATCACCATGCAGTCAGCCGATCTAGGGCTGCATGATAAAGCAGCTCAAGAAACCTTCGGCCTGCTCTAATACCAAGTAGAAATTGTTGATAACAGTTTCAGATGAATGCCTTGTGAAGAAAAGTAGAAGAAACTTAAAGGTTTCAGCAATAGAGAAGAAGAAAAGAGAGTGGGATGTCGCCATAATTGAATAGATCTGACCGCCAACCCCCTCTTGATTTATATACTTAAAATAAAAGAATGGAAGATTACAAGAATACCCTTAGTAGGGCAGCTACTTTAAGTAGCTGAACAGTCACAACTTAAAATAGCATAAACTAATGGGCCTAAAGGCCCAATAACTTCCTAACTTAACAACTTAAAAATAAAAATAAAAGGCTGGCCCAATAACTTAAAATTGGCCCAACTCAACAGCCTTCTAATAAAACTCCATTTATATTGCAGATAAAAAATAAAAATAAAAACTTGGGCTGACAAGAAAAATAGCATGGATTCAAGTCTGGGAGTTGATAGCCAGGACCAGCATTCAGTACTGGCCTATTTTTTCATGGCTAATAGAGATTCGAGAATCAGTACAGGATGAATAAGTTCATTATTTGCAGTGAAGGGAATCTAACAACTATAATTTCCCCTCTTTTCCTATTATTTGAAACTCTGACTCCCCCCTCAACTAAGCTTTCCAAATATGTCCAATTGCGTACCTTTTACAAAATTAGTTACCACTAGCACCTTCAAATATGGCTGAAAACAAACTGGGCTATGTAGAAGTTTGATTAAGCGAAGAACCTAAGTAGGCATAGCCACCTTAGGTATCAAGAACTCTTGCAATTTGCAACCCACTGATAAATACAACAGGAAGGAGCTAGCTACACCCAGCCCACTAGTGAGTAGGTATGTCAGCAGATGCATGCTCACATACACAGATTTTTTTTTTATCAGCAGCTCACATACACAGAAATCAAAGCTAAGAAACTAAGAATTTGAAACCACTTGGCCTACATCATTATGATTGTGATCTTTTCAAGCTTCCTCTGCTTTTTATTAATCCAACCACTAGAGATTCTACTCCCCTGTATCAATTTCCATACTAATATTTTTTTTTGATAAATGAGTGGTATTTTATAAAACAAATATGCAATACCCAATTGGAAAAAAAGGGGAAAAAAAAAAGAATATTATGGGCACTGGACCCATTTTAAATCCACAATGATACAATTGGATGGTTACTCCCTAAGAGCTTGCCCAGTCCAGTAAAAATTGGGTTCAAGTCATACTGCATGCACTTTAACAATGACTTGTCCAAGTTCAGTTTTCACACTAAAATAATAAAGGTAGTAGAAGGGGCACTGTTTATAATAGAACTAGAACCATTGCAAATGGCACATGTTCATCTATTAGAATAGACAAAAGATTTGTGCTACCAGTATCATACACCAACTTTGTCTACATCATGAAATCAGAGCCCAGCTTCCTCAAACCTATGGAACTTTCTTTTTTCTTTTGCTGTCCAGCTCTTCCTTGTTATGTTATTTAATCAACAAAATCTACCTAATTCCAGGCCTTGCCTCCCAAAACATGATGATTAACAATGGCTTATGAGAACATATTATATACAGAGGATGCAGCTGAGGAAAATTGACCTATGTTCATGTGTCAAACTGAAGATTACTATGCATTAGGCCAAAAATCTGGATTTGCTACTAATTCAGGTATTATTTACCACATGAAAACACACATCTAGCCATCAATCAAAATGTCCAAAGGTAGGAAGAGTTCATACTTTGTCCCAAAACCAAATAATCCTGAAGATAAGGGACTCAGTTCCCAATCCATCTCCAAGGGCATGACAGTTGATACATAGGGTCGGATCACCTTTAGGCCTCAACCCTAGCCACCCCATCCAAGATCAGGTTGGGTTAAACCCAAATTTTTGCCAACCCAACTTCTAAGAACCCCAACCCAATCAGGCCCAAAATCGGGCTGTGTCAGTCAGGTTTCAGGTTGACCTATACCAGGTTTCACCCCTATCTCTTGAGCCTTCTCCATTCCATTAATGATCAAAAGAAAATATTTTTTGAGCCTTTCCAGTTTTTTTTATATTTTCCCATGTTTCTTGCATTTTCCAAGAACATTCAATGCTAAAAAACTTTGTTGCATTAAACGCCAATGTAAAGGGAAAATGAAGGGCTAATTTCATATTTAATCAAAATAAGACCTCACCATCCTTTCTCATTTCAGGAAGCAATCCTGAAGCATGTCTTTCTACAATCTTCAGATACCCATCAACCTCATGATCACGAATATTAAATAAGACAATGGATCCATATTGAAAAACTATCATGTAAGAGCAATCACTCCCACTTAAACTAGCTCCACAACCCTGAAAAAAATGAGAACTCAGTGCATAAATATCATTTTGACATTCAATTAAATATAAAGGCAAACAAAGCAAGCCCTTGAATGAAAAATATTATAAGAAAGTTCATGGTACATGATTCATTATCCATTATACTATGCCCATTGTGTTTTTTTTTTCTTTTTATTTTTATTTTTATTTTTTTTTGGGGGGGNAAACTCACCATGAGTTTTCAGCATTTCTCTTAAACTCACCACAACTTTTCAAAATGTCTAAAACTCACCATGCTACTACTTGACATAAAAAGAGACTAACAGCTGTTAATATATTACCATTTTAACCTTCATAGAAAAATATAAAATATATACATATATTTTAATATTTAGATATGAAAAAAGGAAAAAGTTCAAAAAATATTTCAAATATAAAATACATAAAACACAGAAATTGGAAAAAAAATATAAAAAATTATAGAAATTGCACACAAAATAAAAAATTAATTTCAAATTATGAAAACTATAGAAATTGTAGAAAAACACCAAAAATTATAGAAAAGCACATAAATTGCAAATAAATAAAAAAGTACAGAATTTTATAGATTGTAGAAAATAGAAAATTGTAAAAAAACAGAAATTATAACAAAACACTAAAATGTAAAAAAAAAAAAGGAAATTGAAAATGAAAAAGACCCTTTTCCTCTAACTCACCATTCAAGGGTGATTTGTCATAAAAATTGTTATTTATGCTGACATGGACACCTCTGTTAAGAAACATTAACGGTACTAATGGAAGGTGAGTTTTGGAAAATAAAAACTTATTAACATGGTGAGTTTTAGACGTTTTGAAATGTTGTGGTGAGTTTAAGAGAAATGCTGAAAAGTCATGGTGAGTTTTAGACAATTTCCCTTTTTTTTCTGAAAAAAAAAAAGGTAAGCAGACAAGCCAGACCATAACACCCAAGTGTAAGAAAGAGAATAATAGATATGGGTTCTTTTGTTTATGGATGAGAATACAAGAAAGTAATCAATATAATGCAATTTGTCACATGTATCATTTCGTATACCATATAGGTATGTTATTTTTATGCAAGGAAGAAGCAACAAATATAGCAGAGATCTTTTTTTCCATTTTTATTTTTAGAAGGAAACAAAATAATATGTCAAAAGGGGAGTGTAGATGAAAGGATGTCAGAAAAGCACAAAGTTATGGAAAAAAATCCCCCTCTACTATAATAATTTACTCATGTATGAAACCATAACTTTTTATTAGAAACTGACCAGAATTTCAGAATTTATGAAGTCGGAAGAAGATAATATAAAATTGGTGTTTTAAAAGCGCAAGGTGCAAGGGCCAATTTGCACTCGAGGCAAGGTGCGCGTCTTTTTGAAGCAAGGCGCAAAATTAAAAAAAAAAAAAAGCTAAATATTTCAAAAAATGTCAGAAAATAAAAAATAAATAAATAATATTAATAAGAAATATAAACTTAAATTTTAAAATTAATGGTTAAAAAACCTATTATCTAAAATCAGAATACATAAACATAACATGTAAAGCATATTCAAATGGAAATTTAAAAATAAAATCAAACATATAAAACATTTTCAAGCATGTAAAGCCCACTCTCTTTTTTTCCTCAAATGCATTACTTCAAGTAGCTAATGTGATGTAAAACGTATTACATTCCTGATTCTATAAGTCGCCTTTGTGCCACGCCCCTCGAGGCAAGCCCACACAAGTCCATGTTCAGGTCTTAAATTCTTAATTCTCACACAAAAAATAATGATTTTATAATTTTAATTGCCTTTTAAGAAGATATTTTATTAAGATGAATGAATGAACAACATTAGCAAATAGGGAGTTCTCGGACTTGTTTGGTCTTGCCTCGAGGGGCATGGTCAGGAGTCCGGAGGCAGAGCCCCCTGCCCAACCACTAGGTTCAAAAAAAGTAAAAAAAAAAAAAAAAAAAACTTACAATTTTCAAAAGGCGCACGCCTAGGCGCACAAGTGCTGCACCTAGGACCTGGGCGAGGCACCTACCCTAAAATGCGCCTCACCTATGCGCCTAGACGCATCTTTTAAATCACACAAACACGATTTGAAGGATTGTGGTTGTGAAGTATTGATGGTGTTGATAACGCACCATGGTGAAGTGTTGAGTTGTCATCATTCAATGATTTAAGGGGGCAGGTTATGATTGTGAAAGGCTGAGGGCATTGCTGCTTTTGGAAGATGGATGGTGTAGCTCATAGTTAATTTGCAATCTCCACAGCCATGTCCCCAACAATGTAGTATTCCTCTCCGGAATATTCCCAAAACTTAATCTTTCAAATGGGTAAGGAGAATAGCCAACGTTGTGGCTGACAATTTGGCAAAGCAAGGGACTCTCAGGGAAAGCTTGTTTTGGGTTGTATTGTAAGATTTGAGTTTTGTATGGGGTCAACACTCAGGCTCTGAGTGGTTGACAGTACTGTACTTAAATGATCTTTCAATCGCAAGGTTTCAAAAAATTGCTACTTCTCAAATTATCCCCAAAAGTAAACCCAAGCAAGTCAAGGCCATTGCAAAACCACACAACCCAAAATTCCCACACCTTCTAATATCTCCCTTTCTTCCATATTCAATCTCACAATACAACTTTTTGTCAAAATTGATTTTCAGATTGGACTTTTTTTTCAAAAGTTTAAACAATCAATTTTAAATTTCCCACCCATCTAAAATCACCCCCTTCACAAAATAAAATTTTGTCATCAATAAACTGTAGGTGAGTAACCGGTACCTCTTCTCTCCCGACCCTCCATCCCCTTATTCAACTTCTAGAATCGGCCCTATAAATAAGTCTTCTGAATACATATGCAATCAGTGTGAATAGAAAAGGAGGGAAGGGGTCCCCTTGTCTAATTCATCCAAGGGCTAGAAAATGATCCACCACAGTCCTATTTCCCAAAATTGAGTAATGGCAAGCCCTAACACAGCCCATCAGCCATCTACACCATCTTTCACCAAATCCAAAACTTTCCATAACATCAAACAAGAAACCCTAATCAACCAAGTCATAGTCCTTCTCCATGTCCAGCTTACAGACAAAACCTTTATTTCCAACCCTATTCATGTCCTTCACACTTTCATTTGCAATTAGAATCTGATCAATAATTTGCTTGTTCTTAATAAATTCCCCCTAAGAGTGAAATTATGGAGGGGAGGGCAGCCCTAATTGAAATAGGATTCAAGATGGCCCAAAGTGGTAATCAAGTACATTATGCAGGTAATAACATCGCTACTTTGCATATCTACAATATTGTCACCAAATTATGTTATAATCCTATCCCATGTATTCCACACAGTGTTGGCAGTGTTCATTGTGGAATATATCAATTCTAATAAAATTTCATGCCACTATCCATGGAAATGGAAATGTGTCGTGGAAATATTAGGAAATTATGAACATTTTAAACCATAGTTGTTAGTGTGTCATTTGGGGTAGCAACAACAAGCTGCACTCACTGGATAATATGGTTTTCTGTTTGATTAATAACATGTTTGTATTTTATTAAAGGAACACAATTAAGTGTTGTGACCATGTGAACACATCAAAACCAAATCACCCAAGCAAGCACTCACTGAGTGATTTGGTTTTCATTTGGTAGATAGCATGACATTTTTTATTTTTTTGATCAATAGCATGACATGTTTTATTGGAGGGTCAAAAGAAAGTATTGCAACCATGCGAACTCATTTCTCCACGTGTTAAGTTGTCTTTGTATTTCTTGATTTTCTAAGCAATGGACCTTATAGGCATAGTTTTCAAAGCGTCGAAGCAACACTAGGCAAGCACTCACTGAGTGATTTGGTTTTCATTTGGTAGATAGCATGACATTTTTTATTTTTTTGATCAATAGCATGACATGTTTTATTGGAGGGTCAAAAGAAAGTATTGCAACCATGCGAACTCATTTCTCCACGTGTTAAGTTGTCTTTGTATTTCTTGATTTTCTAAGCAATGGACCTTATAGGCATAGTTTTCAAAGCGTCGAAGCAACACTAGGCGATGTTTTTTTTTTTTTTGAAACCCATCTTTCACTTTAAATTGTCACTTAGTTGCCTAGGTGATGGCTTTTTTTTAATAAAAAACATGAATTTTAAGGTAATTCCTTAGGTTTCATAGCAAGCAGCAATCATCTTTCACTATTAATTGTCTATAATCTTCATAAAAAAATGTATAAGCTTCAGTTGAAGCATAGAAAATCAACATATTCATGAAAAAATGGAAGAAAGAAAAAAATATATCAGCACATAAATGGGATAAGCCTCTATTTTCTGTCCTAGGAAAAGAAGAAAAGAAAAGAAAGGGTGAAAGAAGAAGAAGAATATATGTGTTGATTGGAAAAATTTATGAGTCCTTCCATGCTTATCAGTTCAAATTTTGAAGTCTTCGAGGGTTCAAGGCAATATACATGTTGACTGAACCCTAAAAATGAGAAAAATAACAGAAAAAAAAAAACAAAAAACAAAACTAGTACCGTAACTTAAGCTGAATAATTTAGTTTAATAATGCCTATTTTATTATTATAACCTCAAAAAGTTAAGGATATAAAAGTATCCAAGAGCACTGTGTAAAGGTATGCCTCCACAACTATGGGGTAGTCCAAATAGGGCATGGATAGAAGTAGTAAGAAATGATTTAAGTAATAATAATTTAACGATGGATATAGCATTAAACAGAATGAACTGGTGAAGTAAGATTCATGTAGCCAACCCCATATAGTTAGGATAAAGGCTTGGATGATGATGACTATACCTAGAAGGAGTAACATGGGTCTACATCATTGTTATTGATTTCAGAAATGGGGAGCATTACAAATTAAGAGAAGCAAGCACGGCAAAATCCACTCAAAAACCCTACCTACTACAATCCATCCCTTCACCTGGAGGATGAACATTTAAGCACATATAGAAGCAGATAGATGGCAGAACCAGTGCCTCATCCAATTACTTTTCCAATGTTCTACCAGCCAGGGACGACCAGCCCAAAGGAGAATCTCAAACAGCAGCATATTCACATTTAGGCCCCGTTTGGCGCGTCTTTTCACGCGGTCTTTCGGCTGCTTACAAGTCGGGAAGACTGAAAATCGGTCTATTCCCGTTTGGCACGCGGAAGATCTCGCCGCCAAAAGATGGGGCGCCAAAAAGACGCGGGAAGCCCATTTTGGGCTGATTTCGGGAAGCTCCAAATGAAGCTTCCCGCGTCTTCCACGTTTTAATCTCATGCGGGAAGACCCAAAATAACGCACGGAAAGATGCGCATCTGCCAAACGGTCTTCGGGCTGCCCACATCTTATGTCAAAAGCTCAATGCGTCTATTGACTGCCAGAGCTACGAGAAGATCTTCTCAAAAAGACTTGCCAAACGGGCCCTTATACTAGTTAGCCTCATTAAATACAAGTAAGAGATAGCTTGCACCAAGAAAAAAGGAGCCCTCCAAATGACTTTTTAAATATTATGTTTCTAAAATAGGAGGATCTTCAATTTTGGAGATCATGAAGAAAATATTTGTTCAATATGCTGCTTCTAAAGAAAGGAGGATCTTGAATTATGGAGATTAGCCATTAGAATATTATTAAAAAAATACTTTGTTATAAAACATCATCTTCATGTGCTATAATGCTATTGCTAGACTAGTTTCTTGTTGGCTTTTCAATTTCCTATAAATGTTTCATTTGTTGTCGTAAGAGATAAAGTGGTTATTTGGAACGTCTGAAGTTGTTTTTCATTGATTTTGAGTAACCAGAATTATCTTCCTCTCCTGCCAACATCCTAATTTCTTGTTACTGTTAAACTTTCAAGTTGCTACATCACCCATGAAGTAAATCTCAATCTAAAGACATTTTCCTACTTCTGCTATTCTGTTCCAGCTCCCATCCTTGTGCTGAATGTATGTGTGTGTGTGTGTGAGAGAGAGAGAGAGAGGTGAAACCAAATTCCCTACAGAAGCTTCTATAGGAAATCTCTGTAAAAGGCAGTCAGGGGTGCAGCTTCATCATTGGCTATAGAATGATAGACAGTATTCTGATGAGAAAACCTTTCTCAGGTTGGCTATAGGGTGATAAATGGTGCTCTGACTTCTGATCAGAAAACCTTTATCAGGTTCCCATGTTTTTGCACTGTAATGGTAAACATAATGCATGGACTGCTTTGTTTCTGTTGCCATGTTACAATAGGGTTTACCATATCTTCCGTTTTCTCTCACCAACATCAAACAACAACAACAACAACAAATTCGAATAATTACTATTTTTTTTCTGCGCACCAGTTTAGCTAAAATAGAAAATTATTTAAGTTGATTAGGGATGAAACAACAACCAAAATATAGTAATTTATCAAATAATTGTTTCTGAATGCCAGGCATTCAAGCTTAATTAACCAATGATCTGAAAATCAAATAAGATGTCTAAACTTGAATAACAAATAGCCAAATACCGGAACAAACAGAAATGAAGAAAATAGTCTAGTCTAGAAATAAAAGGAAAAAAAAAATGATTGAGTATGGCGAACTTACGCTGGGGTCAGACTTAACGTCTCCGAATCGAAGGACAACATAATTAGTCATGCGAGAAGTAGGCGGGATGAAATTGGCTTTATTCTGATCAACTAGACTTCTCAGATCAATACTGCAATTGAAAACAATGAAAGTTAAACCGTTGTTAACCTCAAAATAAATAAACTCGCAACCAAAGTCACGAAGAATTCACCGCTGAAATAAGAACATGAATAGACAAAATTAAAGAACAAAAAATGAGATGGGAAGATGGGGATGAAACCTAGTAGAGAAGAAATAGGCCCTAACAGGAATGGAAGGTTTCATCTCCTCCTCCTCGGTTATGGTGCTGCTAGGGCCATCGCCGATCTCCGAGCAGGAAACGGACTCGTTCCAGTCCAATGTGTGCGCCGAGGGGATTGAAGAAAGCCCTCGAATAACGAGGGTACGGCAGCCGGAACCGAAATTGGAACCGCTCGGCCTTGAATTGAAAGACAACAAGTTCCGCTGGAAGGTTGAGGATTTCGTGGTGGAGAAACAACGGGGTGATGTTGGAATAACAAGGCAATAGTTTGAAAAAGCTGGTTTTGCTCTGAACGACGTAGCTGGTGACAAAGACGATGAAGTAGAAGACAGCAGAAGCATCGTCTTCAAATGCTTGTCAATGGAACGACCTCGCCACATTTTCATCCCAACATCATATGCTTCGCTCTGCTCTTGTTGCAGCTGCTGCCACTGCCAGACGCTGAGAGGCTTGCGAAATAAGCAAGAGATCAACGTGAGCCCAGACAGGGTTTATACTTTATAGTTTCCACCGGAGAGTAGACACCGTTCCAATACCAAAGTACTCTGACTCTTGAAGCCACAATGGAACGAAGATATCGAAATGACGATGCACAGGCATGAGGCAGCTCATAACCCTGCTTCGTAACTTGTCTTTTAGCGTCTAATCTGAGGGACCCAGTGGTGTCTATAGCGAGATCATATCGGCGCCTCACAGTGCCCTACGGTACATCTCAACCGTGTATTGAGATCATCTCCCAGTGATGACATGTATGGGAGATGCTCCCAATACACGCTGCGATGTGAATGTGGGGCGCTGATGTGATCTCGTCTATAGAAAAGGGATAAGGGGTTTATACTTTATACCGTTGTGGACCTTGTGGTGGTCATCCCTTTTACGAACCTGAACACGTGTCGTTAAAATAGTTGTGTACAACATTGGTGGACATAAAAGGGCGTCCATCCGGCGACCTGGGCATTGCCATGGCCACGACCCACATTAGGTGAGACGATGTAGTCATTTAGACCATGGTCCGACCAATTGACCGGTTTTACCATTCGAGTGTCACACAAATGTTTAGCTGGAATCATGATGATTTGTTTTTCACTTTTAAGTAGGGTGAGCAAAAAAAACCGAACCAATCAAAAAAATCAAACTGAAAAATCGGTTAACCGAATCGGTCACTTCAGTTTTGGTTCAATATTCTTAAGAAGCTGATAGTTTTGGTTCGATTTCGGTAAATCATTTAAAAAAACCGGTGGTTAACCGAATCGACTGATATATATAATATTATATATGTTATATTATATTTTTTATTTTTTATTTGAAATTCAACTAATGGAGTTTGATAGTCTGATAGACTGTCGGTAGACCTGTTCATGGGCCGAACTGGGCTTTTGCTCTTTATTAACATAATTTTTTTAAGCCCAAGCTCGAGCCCGGCCCGACCAATGGTCCTAAAACTTGGGCCCGAGCATGGCCCTCATAAAAAGCCCAAAGCCCGACCTGGGAATCTGAGCATTGGTGCCCTCTAAGGATTGAGATAATGGTGCCTATTGAGTTCGCCGATTCCAGGGAGTCAAAGAGTGAGAATAGAAACCGAGAAAGTGAAAAGATGGAAGATGACAACAGTGCCGGCCAGAGAGAGAGATAGAGAAAGAGAGCTCACCTCTCAAGAGATAGAGAGAGACGATCTAGATCTGGTGGCGCCAACCGCCGGTGCCTGAGTTCGTAGAATGAAAGCGGTGCATTTGGGTTTTGGTGGCACCGGCTGGAGAGAGAACTGAGAAGATAGAAGACCTAGTTCTAAGCAGAGAAAGAACTGGGAATGAGAAGAAATAAGATGAAAACAGTGCCGGCTAGAGAGAGAGAGAAGGAGAGAGAGAGAGAGAGATCACCGCCAAAGAGAGAGATGACTGGTTCTGGTGGCACCGCCTACCGGTGGATGAGTTCGTAGGTGCAACTGGGTTCGCTGGATCTGAGAGTTGAGAGGAAGAAATGAGAGTCGCTTCAGAGAGTGAGAGTGAGAAAGGATAATGAAAATAAAAGTATTTAGGGTTAGGGTTAGGCAATTTAGGAAAAGTCAGACCAGGCTTTTTTAACAAATCCCGAGCCCGACTCATAAAATAGTCAGACTCAGACTTTTAGGCTCGAGGTCAAGCCCGCGGGCTAAAACACATGCTCAAGCCCATCCGGGGGCCGAGCCGGCCCATTGGGCTACCCGACCCATGAACAGGTCTAACTGTCGGCATTGCCAGTCTGACAATGCTAGACTGCCGGTCTTGAGTGTCAAGTTCGACAATGCCAAAATGCCATTTTGAAACTTTCAATTTTTTTTTTATTGAAAAAGTAAAGTTTCAATTGAAAGTTGAGTAGTGCGGCAGTCTTCATTAATTGCCCATCGGTTACTTTACTTTTCGTACTCCCCAATGAAATAATACAAAGACTCATAGAAAAGCCACCCCTACCCACTTATTTTTCTTATAATTTTCTCGTCGACTTCCTCATCTTCTTTCTCCCTAGTATCGTCTCCATAGTTCAATGCTCTAATCTTTGGGTATTTGTGTATTCATGGCCGATTACAGGTCCAGGTTGTACGGGGATGGGAAGATGTAGATAAAGAGCTTCTATTATTTTTCCCAATCCCCACTCAAGACGGTGCGCCAACCACCAGCACTGCAGCAGCCGCAGTACCAAGCGGCAACGCCGGTCGCCACCTTGTTGGCAAGCAAGCACAAACGTTAGCACCAAGCCCATGAAACAGACTTCTGTCTATCTTCTCTTTCTCACCTCTCCTCTCGGCGTCTCCAACAGCAACCACCGGCACCGACAACAACCACCATCTTCAAAAAATCCGGCATTGACAACAACCACCCAAGTCACCAACAATTTTAGTTTTTTTTTTTTATTTTAAGTTAACAAAAAAACGAAAAACTGAATTGATGGCATCGCTCCGGTTCAGTTTAGATATTTAAAAAACTAATCAGGTCGGTTCAGTTTGAAAAAATACCCCACGGTTCGGTCCTACTTTTAAGGTTGTCAGTGGGTCGGTTCTACCCGACCGATCGAGCCGATTGTACCGATTCTCATTAATTGGGTCGGTTTTGGTTATAACTTGTTCCGAACCGATGACTAAACTTTTCTTTGTGATAAAAAATAAATAAAAACTTAGTTTATGATTTTTTATCATAATTTTATGTGTAGAATGGTGCATTTGATAGATGATAGTATAATTTTAGTTAAAAACACTTGGTTTTATTGACATATAAATATTTTGTTATTTTATTGTCATTTTTAGTAAGATTGTGTTTGTTTTCGATATACATGAAAATCGACATAAAACTCTATCATCGATTTGTATTTTCATGCATTTGTTTTGATTTTTACATTGATTCATGCATAAAAAAAACTCCAACAATCCACTAAAATTTTAAACCCATTGATAGAGTTTTACATTGATGAATTTTCCCCTATAAATAAACGCTGCCTAAGGTTATGTTATGAAAAATCAAATTTATATTTGTTATGTATATACATAATTATATTTATCAATATTGGTGGAGGGAGATTTGGCCCGACCCCTTGGACGCGCGACACATGGAAGCAACCAAGAGTGACCTGGCAGGAGCGCCAGCTCGGCACGGCAGCGGGCCCACGACTCGAGCTCCGAGAAAAGGAGCCCCGAGCTTACCCACCTCGGGGCAGTTCGGGCCACACTTCTATCCGAACTCAAGACTTCACCTCGCACACCACTTCAACTCCAAATCGCCTGACTGAACAACCGTACCTAACGCCAAGGAAGCCCATACACGGAGGCGGCGCGCCTGACTGATTAGGGATCTGACACATGACAGCCGCCCTCCAACGGCCACCTGCCACTGCCATCTCAAACGTGGCAGAGACGGCCTTGACAAGGAAGATAGTGGAGGTTATGACACCCAAACTGGCATTTGGCAGAGGTTATGACACCCGAACTGGCATCTGGCAGAGGTGATGACACCCGATTTGGCGGAGGTGATGATACCCGATCTGGCAGAGGTATGGGAGTGAGTGTACCAGGGTGATTATAAAAGGCCCCCTTCCCCCAAAGAAGGAGGTTTGTGATTTTTGTGCTTTCTGCTCTTGAAGTCCTTTATTTCCTCTTGCCTTCTCAATATGAGCTTCGGAGTGTTCCAACCAGGTTCCTCCCCGGAAGTCTCCAGTTTCTTCCTTGTTTCAGGCACCTTCAATTCCGTCAGAGGCGAGATAACCGGCAGCTAGGATCGACCGGATTGCGCATCACCATTTGGCGCCGTCTGTGGGAAGACTTCAAAAAGCCTCCCCTAACCTCTAACTCTCTCTCTCTCTCTCAATGAAACCTTAGCTTCCATGGCTTCCTCCAGCAGCAACAAGCACAACGCCGACTTTAATGTTGTAGGGAAACACCCTCAACCCGCCATTGTATGCATCGGACAGTTCACTGTCCCCCTCTCGACGGACGGAATCCCTAGCCTCAATGCACCAAGCACAATGGCCCCTGTGAGTGTTCCCCTTCCCCTCCCTATCGAGACAACCTTCGTCGAACCAATCGTTGTCCCTCTGGCGACCAGACAGAACCACCTTGATAACAGTGCATGCGGGCAATGCAAGCTCAAATTCAGCAGTTCCCGCAACATCAGATCCATCAGCAGAAAGTACTACACCACATTTCCCAGCATCACTACCAACAGCAGTTCCCCCAACTGCCTTAGGGCGGGCGGCTTCACCGAGGGGAAGCCTCCCAACTTCAGAACCCCTTCAGGAGCCAGGCCTCATCCCCGGGCAAGAGGTAAAGACTAATTACCCCCACCTCGCAGCTCGCTGGCGAATCAGGAACCTCCTTGCCGATCAAGTTAGCACCTCGACACTCTAAGTTCGAGCTCCCGCTCATAGAGAACCAATTCAGCATCCTGGCGCGGACTACTAACAGTCCGAGCCGATCGAGCTCAGCAACACCGAGGCAAGAAGCGCCAATACCAGGCTTTCTAAGCAGCAGCGAAGACGCCGAACTACCACCCGCATCCTGCCCGAGCTCCGAGGTAAAGAAGAAACAAGCTCGGATGAGGTAAAATTTGTCCCTATTATTTCAGTTCCTTCCCTCCTGTCATCAGAACTCCTCGCGGTTCCCATGCCCAAAGATTTCAAACTCCCTCCCCTACCATCAAGGACGGGGTTGGGGTGCCTCACCCCATTGCCATCCATAGGCCAAAGACTAATGTTTGCACATTTAATGTTGGACCTAAGTTGATACACAACCCACCCAAGTTGCACCCCCTACCTATAAAACAACATGCATTTTGGATATTTGGAGTTGATAAACATAAAGTTCTTTATAAAACATTGTAGATGGAAATGTGATTTCAAACAAATTTTAAACTTTAATACTATCATGTTGACAAATCAATTGAGCGCGTCAGCTAATCGATTAGTATTATCATATTGAAATTTTGGGTCAATTTACAATCGACTTACTTGTTTGTAAAATAGAAAGAGAAAACAAAAATATCGGCTCCAATAAACGATATGGCAAACTAGCAAGTTGAACCATTGCACCATTTTATGTGGTAGTGTGGCCAGGAGTTAGACATTATTTTATTATT